ATACTCGTTTGTATGTATAAATATGGAGAACGAGTTGGAGATAGTGAGAGAGAGAGAGTGCTGGCACGGAGAGCCAGTCGCGCAACCCCACGACACGATTTTCTGATCTAAGCCCACGCGCGTTATATTAAATATATTATTATAATATAATATTATTTTCGTAGTAACCATTGCGAAACACAGCCGGGTAAAAAAGGGCGATTTATGTATAAAAATATTTACGTTTAACTGTATTTCTTAAACTTTTAAATTTCGATTGTGACGTATTACGGGTTGGTTCTCGAACGAAAACAAAACGTCTTAACATGAGTCTTATTTATTGATTTATTTATTTTTACTTTTAACACCCGTAAAATAATAACAACGTCATTAAACGCGTTCTATTAATTTTATTATATTCCCGACTCGCGCGCGCCGTCCACTCTATGAGAAGTTTACATGGAACCGACTTCACACAGTATGCGGTCACCAGTATCGATAAATTATGATGACAATTACCGACAGATCTACCTTGGGTGGCCAATGGTCCTCAGCTGTTTATTTAATTTTAATTTAATATATCTACGTACTGTGGGTTCGATCGATCAGTTGGGTATAATATCCGTGCATAGATATAGGTACTCGTACTATCTACCCATACCTGTTGCAGCTCTCTTGATCGCACGTGTCTCATCTAACTTAAACCTAACCATCTCAACGTGCATTAACCTATACAATAATAACGACAATAGACAGTTATCTGTGAATGTTTATAGACTCGTTCACTTTTCTTCATATATATACACGTGCATGCGATATATTATATAAATACAATATTATAATATCTTTCCCGATAATTTTTCGCCGATACGGCGCAACAACGAGAAACACGCTGCAGTTCACTGGCACACATCACGCTCGTAATGTGCACGTAAACATCAATTTTGTATGTACGCTTATATACGTATGTATAATATTATATACGCATACCTATATTAAAATACGACGCGGCAGACGACGACGACGACTAAAACTATACGACAGCGACGACGACGGGGACCCATGCGGTGAGACCCGGTCGTGATATATATTCACCGGCAAATCCGACCGATCGACCGACACATATCGCCGCCCCCTCGGCACAGTCTCGTTTCGCATGTACGTTGTAAATATACACATACATATATCATTTTTTAAGACTATCCGTGCAGTATATTATATTATATATATATAGTCATTGTAAAATATGAAATATCATCGTCACCCCGGCCGACGGTTTAATGAGCGAAAATAAAATCGCCGGAGCGACACACCTCACGCGTGATACTCGTCTATGATTTTCGCTGCACTACAACATATTATAATAATATTAATATTATTAAAATGTTTATGTTGTAGCAGTCTTTCTATGGCCGAAATTGCTTTCTATTCATGTACGAATAAAAGAACGCCAGACTCGGACGTATATCATGTAGTCGTACTTTCGTAACCCAGCTCATCCCTGCAGCAGTAAACCTTAAACCAAGAGAAAAATGCACTTGCACCCACCTGTTCTATACTAGCTTGTTTGTGTGTGTGTATAATATTATATTATACAACATTGTGGTATAATGAAGTTTAGCTGGATCGCGCGTGGCTCATATGCTTCTATATACTTGCAGCTACATATAGCTACATATGTACCTATATTCAATATTAGTATAATATATAACAGCGGAACAGGAATTCGACGAGAATATGTATATTCCACCGAGTCAGGTATAACATTTAAATACGCACCGTGTGGTATACCTATACATAATATTATAAACCTATGCTATACAATCGAAGATATGTAAGTATACGCGCATAATAAATACGTCGCAAATGTAATATAGAATTCCAAAGTCAGTCACGACCAATGCATATAACGCGGGACTACTATATAGATGTATCCGAGCCGCGTCGTGTACTTGCGAGTATATATATATACACGCGCGCGCGCGCGCTGGTCATTTATAAATATACATAATAGGTAGGTGCACGTCGCGAGTTAGCCCAGCGTAGGGCTGGTAGTACTGCAAAACTGCTAAAACGGCTCGGCTGGCGTTTAAGTCTCTCGCGAGAGACCTCAGCGGTGTGTATCCACTTGCTGCTGCTGTTGCAGGAATGTCGTCGTCGCGAGAACACTATATACACATACAAATATGTGCGCCCGTATATAATATTATTATTTCGTAATAATATTATAAACGTGCAGAGCTGGCGATCTTCTCGGAATGGTACACTATAATAATAATATATTATTATAGATGTGTTTATAGTGAGTTTACCGCAAAATAGAATACGAGCGAATTAAAGTAATAGCAATAGGTAAAACCTATAATGGACGTAAACTATATTTTATATAGCCAAAAAGGATTTATCGCGGTCTATTGGCGGTCTTATCATGAAAAACCAAAGCGCGTGTTTAATAACGAGCCGATATCGACCGGACGTGGCGTTGTGATTTATATACCAATAGCTGGCGGCTTGAGGAGGGTCCGCGCACCATAAAGATTGCAGTTGTAGTGCACCCACACTAGCGATTGCGGTCGATTATTATTATTATACAATGAATCTGCACTATCGATCGTAGTCGTGTGATCAACTACCGTGGTTTATTATATATTATAAATATATATAAGTGGTCTATTTGTTATTGTGAATTATTACGTTGTTACGCAGTATATAATATTAATATGATAAAAAATATATAAAGTATATCGTTTATAACAGCGTGGGCGTTTTCAGCAGATCAACGCGACGATGCTATTTCACCGGATAAAGTATCTTCTCTCTTTTTATTATACACAGCATTGGCGCCATAGGCAGAAACTGAGTAGAAGGTTTAACGGGGCTAAATCAGTAATGATAAAACTTTCATCTAAGAACATATCTTTCTAATTAGTTTAAAGTAATGGTTTACAAATGCTAATATATAACACACAATACACGCATATACTAAAAAATATATAATATACTGGTATATTATACGGGACTGAAATAAATCACACTCGTGTCTCTTATGGCGTTTACAATGAGGTTATTTTTCCAAGCTTAGAGTGGCGTTGTGCAATTAAGCATATTTTTAATTTCAGCCCCCTCTAAAATAGTGACAAAATTTCCAATATTGGCTCCACTTCATTGATATAATAATTTTATATATTATTAAACTTTGCTGCAATCGGTTGTGACACATCTGCAACTATTTCTCATATATATGTTTAAATAGGAAAAATCGGACATGGTATACTGTAGGAGAGCAGCGTAATGTGTTCTATTATATATTATATTATTTACGCGTTTATAGACTTCCATTAAAATTCCGCGTGAACCCGATAAACAACGGGAGGGCGCCCGGTAGAGAATAAAGTGCAAAGTGTGTCACTATATTATATATTAAATGTTTCCTTTATATTGTATATTTTATTGTAGGTAGCGCTGACAATGGGACGGAAGACGCGCGCGCGTATAGCTCTTGGGGCGCCGCTCGCCTGTGCCGTATAAACATTATTATAATATATAACTAGGTAATAATATATAGGTAATATATCGACGTCGTGGATATGCCGTGCGATTTACGATCGAGATCTACGGCGGTGGCGATGATCGTCAAGTATAATACATTGTGTACCGCCCGCGCTAATAACAATAATCGTCACTATGTCATTGTTATAGTAATAATAATAATACTGTATTGCACGGCGCACCGTCATCGGTTTTGTGATATATCGATTCGAATCGGAAACGTATACGATGATAATAATAATAATAATAATAATAATAATAATAATAACAATAATAACCATAATGTCGTATGTTACCTACACTATATATATTATATGATCTCTCATAAATGTCGCGTATATAATAATAAAACAGTGGAACCTCCTCTCGAGTGCCCGATAAATAGGTACGCCCATAGCGGCGCACACACAAACATTGTTTGCAGAGTAAAGTTTACGACCGCGGACGCGGGCACGGTCGATTACGGTTTAATTAAACTGGTTGCATTCCGGTCCAAACACAAACGCCGCATAATATGTGGTACGTAAGGAACCCACAATGAAACGCGTGCGCGTATATTATAATCACAGTATCATTCGATTCGACTATATGGGTGTATAATATTATTATTATTTATATTACTATTATTATTATTAAGAGCTGTGCGAGCATATAAATCTCGAAAAACAGTCGACGGCTGCAAACGGGTTCTCGCCACGATGACGAGCACGATAATTACAATAATAATAATAACACTACCGACTATAACAATAACGTCCGTCGTAAAAGTTAAAATTCGTTTCGTGTATGCTTCCACGACAGTTATATCCACATACACATTATAGGTATATTTATAGCGATAAAAACGTCGAAAAACTGCACTCCCACAAAACTAAGTATATTGTGTTGTGAACACACCGTCATAATCGATCTGTTCAGTATTTTGTTAAAAAAGAGTAGTTATATTACCACGGGTTTGAATTTATGTAGATAATTTAATATACATAATATCATAATTAATGATTATAAATATGTCGATCAAGTTGATCTCCATCTAATATTTATTTCTGTATACATCCTATCCGACCGAAACCTGACGTTTTTCAGATTTTAACTCCATTCAGGGGGATGAACACCACTCACTCGATGTAATTTATCACAATTGACAAATTTTTTTCATTTTAATCAATTATGAGAATTAAATTTCGAAATTCAGTAAAAAATAACTGAGTATTGTTCATTTAAAAAAGTCAGATTCCTGTTTGTAAGCTTGTAGTTTACAAAAAAAATAGTATATTTTGTGTACTTTTATAAAACACACTTCATTTTTCTGTTTAGATTTTCTTGTATTTTTTTTTTTTTTTGAAAATATACCTATTCATTTTTAATAAATTTAATTTAATCCCGAGAGGTTTTGCTTATAGATTGGGTACTGAAATATTGCTTAAAACTTATATAATAAACGTACAAATAGACGAATGTTAAGCACTTACCTTGAGGACACACGATCCGACAGCTCTATCTTCTGACACGTCCACGTTGTAAAAACTCTGGTCAAATATCGGCTCATTATCGTTGAGGTCGTGTATGGTCACGTGCACCGTAGTGGTGCCGGTCAGCTGTTGAGGTCGACCGTTGTCGACGGCCAACACGACGAACGTGGGCTCGGGGTCGCGCTCGCAGTCCATCCGGTCCCGGGTGGCTATCACGCCGGTCAGCGGGTCCACCTGGAACCACGGTGGCGGCGGGTCGCGCATCTTGTACGTGAGTGCCGCGTTATCGCCCTCGTCCTCGTCAGTGGCCACCACCCGGGCCACGGACGTGCCCGGCTCCGCTGGGCGCTGGAGAACACGGGTTGCTGCTGATGTCCGTCACCAGCAGATGAAACGTTCGACGCATGCAGTGTGGGCTGCCTGTATCTGTGGCGACACATCAGTGGCACAATGAGACTCGTGGTCCAAGGGCAGCGCCACGATCACCAGATAGATGATGTTGTCCTGCGTGGTCAGCCCGAAATGGCCGTCGCCACCTTGCAACGTCACGTTCACGTCCGAGTACTCCTGCTTCGAGTCCGGGTCGTGGACGGATATGCGGGCGACGAACTCGCCGGGTTGTGCGCGTTCCGAAATCTTTGGCGTCGCGTCGTCGCTCAGAAATATCACGTTGATATCCGGCTGGTTGTCGTTGACGTCGGCCACACGCACCGTGACGAACGCCGTCGTCTCCAGAGGCTGGTCGCCTCGGTCCTTGGCCACCACCACCAGTTCGTGCACCTCGCGCGTCTCGTAATCTAGCGGCCGGTTGACGGATATAACTCCCGTATGCCTGTCCACCGTGAAGTAGCCCTCCTTGTCGCTCTGTCGCCGACTAATGGAGTACTCGACCACGCCGTTGTCGCCGTCGTCCACGTCGGTGGCGTGCACCTGCAGTATGCTCGTCGACACAGTAGCGTTCTCCGGCACGGTAGCGTAGTACCGGCTCTGGTTAAACGTGGGCTGGTTGTCGTTCACGTCCAACACCGTCACGTTGACCGTCATGGCGCCTTTGAGTGGTGGCAATCCGCCGTCGTACGCCTCGATCACCAGATGATAAGCGGCCGTCGTCTCACGGTCTAGGTAACCGTTGATCTGTAGGTCCAGGTACAGCACGTCGTCTTTTTCGCGATGTGATGACAGCCTGAACGCGTTGTTCACGTTACCGGCCACGATCGCGTACCGCTGCGTATTGTAAGGTCCCAGGTCCAAGTCCCGCGCCGGGTTCAGCGTCCGTTTCGTGTCCCGCGGCGTGTTCTCCGGGAACTCGACGTGCATGGACGGGCTGGGAAACGTGGGCGCATTGTCGTTCTCGTCGATCACGCGCACCACCACGCGCACGTTCTCGCCGCTCAACGGTATCGCCACTAGCGTGTACGACGCCCGAGTCTCCCTGTCCAGTGGCACTCGCGTCCTTATTTCGCCCGTGTTCTGTTCCGTTATCAGGTCGGTGTCCACCGCGCTACCCGGCACCGGCACGATCAGGTACGGCGGCCCGCTGTCTTTGGACCCGTCGCCGATGAAACCGATTCGGGTGCCGACCGGCGCCGACTCGGACACGTCCAGGTGCCGTTCGTGTTCGCCGGCCACCGCGGCTACCGCCGCCAACAGGCACAACCATAGCGGCAGGCCCATCGCCGTCGTTTGATTACCACCGCATAGTCAACCACCTACAAATAATCGATTGGATATATCAATAAACAGTTATTTTAATTCATTCAAATAATATTGCATGCAGTTGGTTAGGTTGGGAAATAGCCTATATGTATATGTACATCGTATAACAGTAATGAAATAATTAAGATTTATACTGTATGGTGAAATGGCTAGTTCATAACAATTTTTTTTAAATTTTTATTCATGTGACCAATGTCAATCCTATATTGTTCGATTTTCGTGAGTAACCTATAGGGTTTGAAAAATGAGGCAAAGAATACTTCTCAAATCTCAAAAATAATGTCTATGTGAAATATTTCATACATATTTTTTCAGTAGTTTCGAAGTCTACAAGACTCGTGTACAATAGTGCATTCATTTTTGAATAATATATAGAATCTATATATAGATATACGAGATGCAGCGCAAAGAGCAATCCGCCGCATAACGAGAACGGGGCCGTCGTCTTCGTCTACATAATATTATTATATAATACAATCGTATATAGCTGATGTATCCGATGTTGCCGCAGACGGGTCTGAATAAGAAGAATATATCTCCAAAGAACGAGTCGAAGGAAAAAGTTGTGATGCAAGATTAGATTTTGACGACGGCGACGAGGGGAACAATGAGATAGGAGATCGCTTTCAAATTTAAAACTTCACACTTGTCAACTGAATCGTATTTTCATATACTTATACAAAGATATATATTATATTAGTTCGTCTTGTATACGATTGTTATCTATATATATATATATATATATATATATGTGTGTGTGTGTGTGTGTGTGTGTATTATTATCATTAATCATCATCATTGCCATCGCCGTCATCTGTCCGTCGGACAGCCTATTTTATGTGTTCCCAACAAATCTATTTTCGATTATTTTGTATTCATATATTTTATTCGTTATGACGATTATTCCTAAAGATGGAATTATAGAAATATATTTAATATCGTTGTGGCAACATATATTATTGTATACGCGAGTTTTCTAGCCACAAGTGAATTTCGTCGGAAACACTGCACAACTATAAGAGACAACCAATGCGCGCCGGTGTACGATATCCGACGAGCCGACGCATATTGTAAGTATTATGTTGTAATATAGTCGCCTCAGCACGGCGAGATTCGATGCGATATATATATTATTAAAATACGTACACGCGATGAGAGACACGATTCCGGGAAGAATAATATTTATCACGTTTGCCAACGTAGTGTGTGTGTGTGTGAGAGAGATGTCCCGACAAATAACTCAATTCTCGCGAGACTGGAATATAAATTATTCAGCACAAACGCGCTGTAATACAGGTAGGTAGGTATAGTCTTTTCGCGGTCATTATAAATTGTACACACTCACACACTTATAAATCGTTTAATTATACCATCGATACACGGCCGGATACGCGATGAGGAAAACGATTAGTGGGTGATGTACTGCAGACACACGGAGATCACCGGTGCATTTAACGTTGTTATATTAATCATTACTCCGTCTTCGGTTCGATTTCGTAAAACTGCACGCGAACAGTTCAAAATATTTCACATTGACGATTAAGTGATTGCACACGTAGTGCCGCCGCATATAGTCATAGGCTTTCTGTCGACTCGTTAACGCAATAATAATTATTACATCGACCTATATAAACATATAATACGCGCGGACGCGATCTTTCGTGTTCAAAATAACGGTCGGAACACAGACACACAGACCCACACGCAAATTTACGCACACTTAAATGATAATTCACTGAGTGACGAGCCTACAGCGCGAGTTTATTTATTTTTTCACATGTTATGCGCGTCGTGTCCGTATAACGTTATAATATTATAATATACACGTAGAGGCGTTACGTGCATATCAGATTCGTGTGGGTACACATACCCCGTGCAGATGCAGTCGGAGCAAAACAATTATTATACCGCAGCGGCAGCGCGCTGCTGACCGTAGGAAAACTCCTCCCCGCGGTCACCATTTTCATTACTCAAAACTACTGATGAATAACAATTATTATCCTTTGCCCTGTTATTAAATTATTATTATTAGTATACTTGACAGACCGAACGCCGCGCGTATTTGCTGCGCGCGTATACCTACCTATACGCACACACGCGCGCGTATGCACACACACATACATACACACACACATATACCAGCTATACTTAAACGCGTTTACACGTTCGCCTGAAGATGTGTCTTTCTCTAATAATATTGTTACATCCAATCACTGTATTTCAGTCGTCATTGTGCATATCATTATTATTACCGCATTAACTTTTTTACGAAATTCACGATCATTAAGACCATTGAGAAGGCGGCGGCGGGAGGTCAACGGTAGTGCCGTCTTACGGGTAATTATGCATTAAACGTTTAAAAACCGATGTATAAAAAGATAGCTGCAATTACATGAATAGTCGGGGGAAATCGATTATTCGTTTAGAAAAATTGGCCATATCGATTAAGAAAAATGAATAAGTGCCGTCGAACATGTGCACATTACATGCATATATATATTTCGCGAAAACCATATTAAAGACAGTATTTGTCGACGGAGACACGGTGGGATAACCGTGTTACATGCATTATAACGTATATAATATGCATAGTATTATATATCTATTTAAACCATGATTTATGTACTAATTAAGCATAATATATCTACCTACGTTCTGCTTGTGAATAATGTCTAGACCGTGTAAATGCACAAACACTTCTAACGACTCATAGTCGATCGGAATCAACGACGAAACGCGCACGACAACGGCTATGAAACATAGAAAAACAATAATAATCACTTAGGATTTGCCACGATATGGCAATAAGGTATATGATATTGATATAGCTTTGGTTTCTGCGTACAGCAAATACGGTGATTCACGCGTATTCCAGGCGGCAAACTATTACGCGTCCTCCTTTCTAAAAATATTGTGTTATATTCCCATAAAACTTGAAAATTTAGCTTTGAGAAACTTTCTCTTTTAAAAATACATGATTTTCCGATTCGGACGCTTTCACGTCGTACTGATAAACGGAAAAAGCGCCGTATTACATCAACAAATAGTGCGATAATTTTTTTCGTTTATGCCGATTATACATAAAATTATGGATTATGAAGATTACGTATCATTATAGTACACCTACTAAATAACCACAGAGGCGGCTTTTTTTTATCATGAGCGTCGTCATTACATAATACATATCAACGAAAATTATACCGTTTTTTGATACTATTATTACATACTCCATACGTTTCACACGCGCGGATCTCCGATTAATTATAAATATAGACAAACATAATGATATTAAACATTATTCGAAGATCATCGTCTAACGATAGTTCGTGACCAGGCACACAGTTCCGGGTGCCAACTGTCCGTGTAGAAATAGTTAATCGATTTTTACGTGAACCGTCGATATAGACACTCGGTATCGCAACGAGGGAGTGCAGAGAGAGTGGTTTAGTCCATTATTGATATGGCGGGCGATGTGTAACTATATCGTTGGTTTGTGAGAGCGTCTAAATACTGACATAAGTTATATATATATATAGAAGAAACAGTACATAATTTTAATAATAAATATTGGAATTTCGATAGATGCGCGATGAATATTATTCTACGTTAAACTGGTTTCAAGAAAAAAATCGTAATTCACTATATATTATATCAGCGGTGGTGGAGAAAGACGGAATATTTAATGCACTATACATGTTATACATAAAAGATACGTTTCTAGCCCGAAAAATCAAACTTCGTTGTATATATATATATATATATTGTTATTAATAATAATAATAATAGTAATAATAATGATAGATACCCCCGACAGTCATTGAAACTTTAATTAACAAAATAATAATACCTAATATTTTAATATTTGTTATTAGACATTTAAATTATAGAGGAGGGATAAGAACTTGACAAATGAGAAGTCGATCTTTTTGCAGATAGTGACGAATCACTGTAATATTGTCCAATACGGATATAAATAATACTGCAGGTCACATAGTATTTAAAAAATAATACCATACATTTTTGAAAATATGTATTCATTAAAAATAACAATTCATGGAACTTAAGATAATTTATTAATGTTAAAAAATACCTAATGAAATTATTTATCATTAGAAAACGTTTTTACGGTGCTCATTAAATTGCAATATATTCTTTTAAGACACTCGAGTGGAATCAACCCGATGGTTGAGTAGCTTACATCTTATCACAAACTAACAAGCCGTGGTTAAGTGATGAAGAACATATCAAAAAACGTTCATCGACAACTAAATGAAACATCAGAAAGTCACCTAAATGATGACAGATAAGCCCTCAGCTTTCCGTTTTTTTCTTTGCAGAGATTTAAATAAAATAAAAAAATAATACTTTTTTAAGTAACTTGTATTTTGTTATAACGCGTATATATATATATATATAAGAATTTCTGTGAAATATTCTCGTTTCTCTTTGCTGTACGCTACAGTATATTTGTATCCTATTTATATATACTCACGATTGACATTAAAAAAAATTCGTTATCGGAGGGGGCGTACACCAAACAGAGGCAATGGCGAGAACGACGATAATAAGGGTACGAGTAGAGAGAAAACAAGAGTCTGCGTAGTGATGAACCAAGATGTTTCGGTCAGCTACTCTTCAACACGTAGATGGATCTACTTGCAGTGCTGCAGTGACGTTCGTTTGTGGGTGAGAGTACGCTATAGCATCCGTACCCACCAATACATGTATAACATTATATTGTATTTCGTTGGTCGACGACGCACACTGACCGCGCCGCATAATATAATAATAATATTATAACGACGAACCATTCGTTCGCCAACGATGGCGCGCGCGTAATAATAACATTTCCAGTCGGAGATTTTATGTATTATATAGGACCGCGGCTACTCTATAATTATTGTCAATGAAAACTCGCACAGCAAACGAGATAATTATTTTAACTAGCAAACATAATTCCCGTGTCGAAAAAACAATAGACCGAACGATTTTT